GGAAGAAGCCCTCGGATTCAGAGGCGACGGAGGCGCCTCCGCAGGTGCCAATGGGCTCCGGGTGTCGGGAGCGGAGGCCTGTGGGACGGAGCGGGCAGGTGCAGGCCCCGAGGCGCGCGGGCGAGCTGGGTCTGTGATGTGCAGCCCGGCGGCGGCCAGGTGCAGCGGGCCGGGTCGCGGCCGCGGGTGCAGCGCCCCCTGGGCGGGCGGCGGGGCTGGCGGGCGGGGGCGCGCGCGGGGCGGCGCGGGGGCGCGCGCGGGCGGCGGGGACGCGCGGGCGCTGAGGCCTGCGCGCCCGGCTGCGGGAGCCATGCGGCGGGCGAGGAGCGGCGCGGCCGCCAAGCCACGCGGGCAGAAGGGGCCCGGAGCCTCCGTGGCCCCCGCGGCCGCCCCCTCGGCCCCCAGCGCCAGCCGCGCCCGGCGCTCCACCGGTCAGGCCGGGGGCGACAGCCCGGCGGCGGCCAGGCAGCCGTCGGCGAAGCGGCGGCCGAGGCAGCCGTCGCCGCGGGCCCGGGAGGTGGGCCCGGGGCAGCCGCCGCCGGAGCTGCCGCCGCCGCCGCCGCCGCCGCCCCCCCGCCACCCCGGCTGCCACTCTGCCCGACCTGGGCGACCAGCGGGAGCGCTGGGAGACGTTCCAGAAGCGACAGAGGCTCACCTTCGAGGGCGCCGCCAAGCTGCTGCTGGACACCTTGTGAGTGCGGCCGGGCCGGGCGCGGGAGTCGGCGCCACGCGGACCCCCTCGGGGCGGGAGCGGCTGTCGCGCGGGCCGCGGCGGCTTTTCCGCCCTCCGTCTTTCCAGCACCGTGACCGACGCGTGGCCCCGTGGTGGCCCCGGGCGCGTCCCTCATTCGCACGGCCGCTTGCCTTGGCTGGGTGCGGGCTTGCGGCCCTGGACCGGACGGGGCGCTGCGCCCCGGGAGCGTGTGGAGAGCCGCGCCGCGTCCTGGGACACAAAGGGTCTTTCCCGGGGACAGCCATCGTGCTCGGGACGCTGTGTCTCGTCTTGGCGCGCCGAGGGCGCGGGGGCCTTTCCCAGCGAGAAGAAGATAAACCCCACGACTTCGCGCCTACCTGACTCGCTTTTTATATTTGCGCACGTGTTTTTTGGGAGCGTGGGTGCGAGAGAGAGGTGGCGAGGGGGGAGAAAAGCTTGGATAGTTTTGAACCCACCGGGAGGCGAGATCCCGTTATTGTTCCAGGCGCTCCCTGGGAGCGAGCGGAGTGCGGGGGAGGGGGTATTGATCCCCGGGAGAAGCGCGCGCAAAGAGATGCTCGGTATTCTGAACAGCGGCGCGGGTACCCAAGGCGGGGGGCGGGGGGCGGGGGGAGAGGGAGGCCTTGCGCTCTCCGCCGACTTGATGCTCCTGCGTGGCTCGCTCTCCTTCGCGCTCCCCCAGCTTCGCTCCTGCAGGAGAAGAACCTCCATCCAGGTCCTTAGATGGCCAGGGGAGGATTTCAGAGTGTCCGGGATGTTCGAAATGAGCTATTAACTCTGGCAAGGACTGCCTTGTTGTCTCCAAATGTGACAGCATCTAGATCTCTGTCCTGTACAACAGTTGTGCTACAGAGAAATATTTTTAGTACCCCGATAATCTATCTCTGCGTCCATTATTTTGTGAATTACAAAGAGCGATCGAAAGCACAGAAGAAAACAAGGATAACCTAACACTTGCATAACAACCTGAGGGTTACTCCTTTTCTTGAACAAGAATGTTCTTTTGTCCTTAATCCTGAAGCAATTCTCTTAGTTAGGGTGAGTCTTCTCAGAGATAAAATACTTGGTTTTCTGTGCGCCTCACTTTCTGACTTATCATCTTGGATTATGGGCTGAACATTTTTTTATATTCATCATTAAACATTTTTGAGCCCCTGTGGTGAGCCACCAGTTGCTAAGGGGATATAAAGATTCTCAGAAATGTAAAACTCAAATTTGAAGTAAATTTTTACTTTAAAACAAACTCGATAAATGGTCAAGAAAAAAGATTTTTAAACGTTGATAGAAGACACGATTTTTTTTTTCCCATTAGATTGGTGTGAGTACGTACGTTTATTTAAATAACCCAAACTCACTCACTTAACTTACATGCAAAAAGAATGCATAACTCTGCACTGTTTTTGTTAAAATGTTACCATATAGAAAGTCTGGCGAACCATGAGAGATGATGGACTCTGAAAAACAAACTGAGGGTTCTAGAGGGGAGGGGGGTGGGAGGATGGGTTAGCCTGGTAATGGGTATTGAGGAGGGCACATTCTGCATGGAGCACCGGGTGTTATGCACAAACAATGAATCATGGAACACTACACCTAAAACTAATGATGTAATGTACGGGATTAACATAAGAATAAAAAAAAAAAGAAAAGTCTGGAGGAGTATATAGCAAATAGTTAACTGTGGATCCCTCCAGGTGTTAAGATTACCAGAGGCGTTCGTTTTTAACATTATCAAGTGTAGTGTTTTAATTTTTTTTTTTACAATGAGCATTATTTGTGTATGCAGAAAAGATTTTAAATACATCAAGTTAACCGATTCAACTTGGAAAGAAACAGGGAAAAGCATTCGGTCTTATGAATCAAAAAAATGCAAATTAAAACTGCCGCAAGCTATTTTTCCGGTAATCATTGCTTGAGCGGGTGGGGTGAAATATTTTCTCATTACTGAGAAGCATTCAGCCCTTTTGGAGCGCAATTTGACATTTTCCAAACTTAATAATGTTCAACCAAGGGCCTGGCTTATATACGTTTTGAGAGGACTAAAATAGTATGTAATGTGTAAGCAGAGCTCTGTAAAGAGTCCTGCCTATGCAAAATCCTGGAGGGGAATATAGCAAAATTCCAAGAGCCTTTCTCAGAAGAAGGCTTTTCCAAACCACCAGCCTCAGGTCTCCTCGTCGGACTTCTTCATAGCTGCCTGCTTTTATCACAGCCCCTTAAATATTGTTTGGGTAATTTGTTTGATGACTGCATGTGGTTGGTAGGCCTGGAACACGTCCGCTGTATCTTGTTTACTGCTCGCTCTCTCCCCTGTGCCTAGCTCACAAAAAATCTTAGTAGGTATCTGACATATAAATAATGTTTGAGTGTGGGATTAGGATCCTCCACCCAACTGCCATTTCCCATATTTTCGGAATGTTTTATTTTGCAGCTTCACGGAATGTAAGAAATAGAAAAAAGAGAGGTCAGAGGAAAGAAGGCACTGAATCTTTTCTTTTCTTTCTTTCTTTTATTTATTTAATTGCCAGTATGTCCTCCTCAAAAGCAGAGATACATGGGGCTGTCGTGTAGAGAAGACTTTTGTCCCATCTTGCTTCCTTCTTCCAACAACGAGGGAGAGAAAAAGCGGGAGCTAGGGCGCCGAGGTCCTGCCCGACTATTCAGAAATCCTTATCTTTCTGATTTTTTGTGCTTTCATTCAGTGAATACCAGGGCCTGGTGAAGCACACGGGCGGTTGCCATTGTGGAGCAGTTCGCTTCGAAGTCTGGGCCTCAGCCGATTTGCACATCTTCGACTGCAAGTGAGTGTTTTCTCTTCCCAAGTTGCTTGGAAGGACCTAAGAGTTCAAACGCAGCACTTCGAGCAGCATGTGGGGAGTCAGGCTGCCTATGAAACAGCCCCAGCCGGGAGCTGATAATTGTTGGCCTCACCTGACGGCGTGACGGCGGCTTACGAGTTCGTTCTATTTTTTTTTTTTCCTTTTATATGTGCTAGGTGTTTTCAATAATAAGATTTTTTTTTTTTTTAAACATGGGGGGGCGCTAAAAATAACTGGGCCTGCTCTGTGCATGTGTGTGTGTGTGTGTGAGAGAGAGAGAGAGAGCTCACTCCTACAGCAGAGCCCCAGGGGACACAGAGTAGGGTCCTCCAGCTTCTGCCCCTCAGTGTCACCCCTCAGACCGTACCATTGGTGGGGTGATGGGGAGTGGTGATCTCTGGACATAGGTCAGCCCGGGGGACTGAATGAAAAGCCTTGGTTGGGCAGAGTCCTCATAGGAGTCCAGAGCTGGGCACAGGTGGAGGGGAAATGAGCAGAGGGTGTATACCCCGGGAAGCTTACCATGTTCCAGGCCTTCTGGCTCTGTTCTAGATGAGGCAGATGGTTCTGCCAGGATCTGAGGACGGTCGCCTTTTAGCACCTTCCCAGGCGTTGTGATAGAACAAGGACAGTGACATCTGAACCAATAGCACATACCTCCTTGTTCGACAGGATCCAGTCCTGTTAGAGAATTCTGCATGAAATCAGGAATTTTTGTCAAGACGGACTGAAAAGGGGATTTAGATTTCATCCGGAAGGTGATAATTCGGAGGACCCATTTGACTCAGAGCTAGGCTTTCTGTGATGGACAGAGGAGGGAAGCGGGAAACGGAGGCCTCCTTGTCCGTTTTTGGTGTCGGGGTATCCCAGAGAAGTAGATTGGAGCTACGCCTGATATTTGTTTTGCAAACGTCTCTAGAATCCAACATTTCCCTTCACTGTAATAATCGGGGTGGGGGGAGGATGGGCAGCAGGGATGTGGTTGTGATGGGCCTGGCTTTCCGAGGGGTACGTGGCTTTGACTGCCGAGCAGAGGCCTGTCCATCTGCCTGGGCTCCCCCTTCCCTGAATGGCGCCGAAAGGGGCTTCCCTTCTGGGGTCAGCCGGCTCTTAGGACATGCTGGGTTGGGCCCCGTTGGGCCCCCAGAGGGTACAGATGCTTGTTTATAACCTGAGAATTCCTCTGTGTTTTTGTAGCTGCAGCATCTGCAAGAAGAAGCAGAATAGACACTTCATTGTCCCGGCTTCTCGCTTCAAGCTCCTGAAGGTTAGTGCTAAGAGCAGGCGTGAGGAGCCCCTGGCTTACAGCAGGTGCCCCGGGGAGGGTCAGGTGGAAGGGAGCAGAGCAGGACCTCTTCTGGGAGCTCCATTGTCCTTGTCATCCTGGGTTTCACGTGTATTTCTGAAAGGTTATGTTATTTTTCCCCTTTATATTTTGGATGCATACTTGATATTACTGTGAAAACATTAAAAATAGAACCAAAAAGTAAACGATCACTCAAATCCTATCAACCAAAAGTAACCACTGATATATATAGGTGTATATCCTTGTGCATTATTTTCTACCTGGGTAAATACAGCTAAATAATATTAACAATGACATTGTATATGTCGTTATCAAAATAGGATTTTACCTTTTGTTCTGGTCTATGATCGACTTTTATCATTTCCCAATGAAGAATATATATCTTCAACAAATTTTTTTAATGGTGAATTCAAAATTTTATTTTATTTTTTTTTTAAAGATTTTATTTATTTATTTGAGAGAGAGAGAATGAGAGAGAGAACACATGAGAGGGGATAGGGTCAGAGGACGAAGCAGACTCCCTGCCGAGCAGGGAGCCCGATGCGGGACTCGATCCCAGGACTCCAGGATCATGACCTGAGCCGAAGGCAGTCGCTTAACCAGCTGAGCCACCCGGGCGCCCCAATTCAAAATTTTATTGAGGTACAGCTGACATGTAACATTATTAGTCTTAGGGGTATGTCAGAATGACTCATTATTTGTATATATTGCAAAATGATCAGCACAATTAAGTAATTAATGTCTGACAACATACGTAATTAAAAAATAATTTTTTTCTTCTGATGAGGACTTTTAAGATTTCTTCTCTTAGCAGCTTTCAAATATGCAACAACTGTGTTCTTAACTATAGTCACCATGCCCATTTTATTTTATTTTTTATTTTTTAAAGATTTTATTTATTTATTTGACAGAGTTAGCGAGAGCAGGAACACAAGCCGGGGGAGTGGGAGAGGGAGAAGCAGGCTTCCCACTGAGCAGAGAGCCCCATGTGGAGCTCGATCCCAGGACCCCGGGATCACGACCTGAGCCAAAGGCAGACGCCCAACAACTGAGCCATCCAGGCGCCCCCGTTTTATTTTATTTTTAAAGATTTTATTTATTTATTTGAGAGAGAGAGCACAAGTAGGGGGGAGGGGCAGAGGGAGAGGGAGAAGCAGGCTCCCCACTGAGCAAGGAGCCCGATGCAGGACTCTATCCCAGGACCCTGGGATCATGACCTGAGCCGAAGGCAGACACTCAACTGACTGAGCCACCTAGGCGCCCCTCCATGCCCATTTTAGAACTGAAAGTTTGTACCTTTTGACCTCCTTCACCCATTTTGCCCACCTCTTCCCTGGCTCTGACATTAAAATGGTGAATTTAATGACATGTGAATTATACCCCAATTTTAAAAATCAAGTGCATGTCTAATACTAATAATGAATACTAAGAAACTGAAATTAAAACCATCATACCATTTCAAGTAATGGAAAGAAAATTAAATAGGTAGGTGTTCAACTAGCAAAACATGTCCCTGATCTATGTACTGAATATTACAGGAAGCCGATGAAGTTACTAAAGAAGAACTTAATAAGTGGATAGACATCATATGTCTTTGCGCTGGGAACCTCAACATAGTATTGATGTTCATTCTCCCCACAGTGTTTATAGATTTAATGTGATGTCTATCAAGATCCCAGGAAGGCTTTTGCAGACATATACAAGATTGCTATACATTTTTTTTAAAGATTTGTTTATTTATTTGAGAGAAAGAGAGAGAGCATGAGCAGGGAAGGGGCAGAGGGAGAGGGAGAGAGAATCTCAAGCAGACTCTCTGCTGAGCATGGAGACCAAAGAGGGGCTCGATCCCACAACCCCGAGATCATGACCTGAGCTGAAACCAAGAGTCAGTTGCTTAACTGACTGAGCCGCCCAGGTACCCCAAGATTACTGTAAAATTCACATGGAAATACACAGGCCCTAAAATAGCTAAAATAATGTCCACAGGGAACAATGAAGTGGGAAAAAGTAACTCCACTCAATATGAAAGCTTCTTCTATGCACACAGTCATCGAGGGAGTGTTAACATGGTCAGATAGAGATGTAGATCCATAGAATCTCTTCTATCAAGAGGCCCAGAAGTGGACTCACTCCAGTTTGCTCAAATTATTAAAGTTTCAAAGCCACTGTTTCCTTGTTGATTTTCTGTCTGGGTGATCTACCCATCGATGGAATTGGGAGTTAGGGCCCCCTACTGTTACCTATTACTGTCCATTTCCTTAGGTCTGTTAATAGTTGCCTGATGGATCTAGGTGCTCCCATGTTGGGTGCATTGATATTTACAACCGTTATGTCGTCCTGTTGGATTGTTCCCTCTGTCATTACGTAGTGTCCTTTGTCTCTTGTTAGGGTCTTTGTTTTCAGATCTCTTTGGTCTGATGACAGTGTTGCTACCCCCGCTTTCTTTTTGCCTCCATTTGCATGGTCAGTGTTTTCCCATTCCTTTACTTTCCATCTACATTTATCTTGAGGTCTGAAGTGAGTTTCTTGTAGGCAGTATATTGATGGGTCTTGCTGATTTAAAAAATTGTAACTTTATTATTTCGGGGAGTTTTCTTGTGCTTGGTACACATTTTTGAAAGGTACAAAAGTAAGTCTTCCCTCCATTGCCCCTCGGTCCCTGAATCTCTTCCTCCCCCACAATCCTTTCCTAATTTACTTATGCTGTTATTCCTGTACTTGCAACACTTTTTTTTCCCACAGGATATTTTGTTATGTGAATGTACCAGAAGCAGTTTCCTATGTTTAAACTTCTAGGTCGGGTGCCATTTTTTTTTTTTTTTCCCCAATTATAAACAACACTGTGGTGAACCTCCCTGTGCATAAATCTCTGGTAATTTAGAAGTTGTTTCTTTCGGATCAATTTTCTTAGAAATAAAATCGCTGGTCAAAGAATGCAAGCTTTTGGGGCACCTGGGGAACTCGGTCAGTGAAGCATCTGCCTTCGGCGTGGGTCATGATCCCAGGGTCCTGAGCCCCGTGTCCAGCTCCCTGCTCAGCGGGGAGCCTGCTTCTCCCTCTCCCTCTGGTGCTCCCCCTGCTTGTGCTCTCTAGCCACTCTCTCTCTGTCAAATAAATAAATAAAATCTTTAAAAAAAAAAAAAGAATACAAGCTTTTTAGTAAGGCTTTTGGCAAGATGGCTGGGTGGCTCAGTCGGTTAAGTGTCTGCCTTCAGCTTGGGTCGTGATCCTGGAGTCCTGGGATCAAGTTCCTCGTCCGGCTTCCTGCTTGGCGGGGAGCCTGCTTCTCCCTCTCCCTCTGCTGCTCCCCCTGCTTGTGCTTTCTCATTCTCTCTCTCTGACAAATAAATAAAATCTAAAAAAAAAAAAGAAAGAAAAGACTTTTGGCCTAGTGTCGCTAATATGGGGTGGGCTAGGGCTTTCATTCCATCCTTGGTTCCCCTCGCCCCCCACTGTGGTCTGACAGACTTCACTGTTCTTTGGTGTAATGGTGTGTTTCCACGTCTGTCTCCTCTGTAAAATCGTTGGGGTCTCCGAGCGTCATCTTTAGTCACATCTGACCAGCTCCTGGCCTTGCAGGCTTGGCGTTGAATAGGCACTCCGTGTCTGGGAGGAACCACTAACTGAGTGAAGGAATGCGTGAGTCCTGGCCTTTCCTAGTGAGTGAGATTTAATCCCGGACACTTGGGGCCACTTTGTCTCCTTTTCTTGATCCTTCGTGTGGGTGCCTGGTGGACGAGGGGGACCCTTGGGTAGCACACTGCTCCCTGTTTTCCCCGTACACCCAGAGAATGCCAGTTGTTCTCCTCGGAAGCGTGCTGGAGGCTATGGCCCCAGTTCAGCTTCGCCCCTGAGCGTCCGTGATGGATGGTTCCTGAAGGCGCCACCAGGTACAGCCATAAGGCCTTGGGTCTCGGAATTGGTACTTTCCCCCCTTTATTTCCTCCTTGGGCCTGCTTATCAGTGCATTTCCTGGTGCCCTAGAGCACCATACTTGGCCCCAGCCTGTTGAAGGAGTGATTTGATGTTTTGTTGGTTTTTGTTTTGTTTTTTTAAATTTTATTTATTTATTAGAGAGAGAGCAGAATGAAAAAGAGAGCACGGGGGGGCGGGGTAGGGGTAGAGGGAGAAGCAGCCTCCCCAGAAGCGGACCTGAGCTGGAGGCTTAACTCAGCCCCCCAGGCGCCCTGACACAGCTTTTATCCTTTGTGCAGCATGCAGCCCGCAGAGGGTTTGGAGCAAGCAGGGTAGCGACAGGCCTGCTTCAGTGCTTTCAGAGCTGGCTTTGGCCGCCGGGTGGGGAGCGGACTGTGTGGGGAGGCAGCCGCTGTGACGGGGAGGCAGCCAGGAGGTTGCAGGGGTGGCGAGGCGGGAGGCGATGGGAACGCGGGCTCGGGTGGCGGTCACGGAGATGGAAACAAAGCAGATATTTGAGATTCATTTCGGAGTAGTGGCTCTCAGACTTCAGCGAGTGCGTGATCACGTGGAGGGCACGTTCGGGAGCTGGCTGGGCCCCACTCCGATTCTCTGGGTCTGGGAGCGGGACCCAAGGATCGACCTTTCCCACGAGGTCGCCGGTGACGGTGATGCTTCTGGTCCCGGGGCCACGCGCTGAGAACCCCCGTTTCAGAGGCGGGGTGAGCATCGGGGGCTCTTTCTCGGAAAAGCTGAGGTGTCGTCAGCAGTCACAGGGACAGAGATGGGCCGGGGGCCGCTGGGTGCGTACGTCTGGCGCTGAGAGCGGGCCGATCCGCTGCTTCTGCTCCCGGAGTGGCGGCTCCTGGGCGCGGAGAGCTGAGGCTGCGCGCGGCCGGTGACGGGAGGGGGCCGAGGCCAGAGCCCTGGGGCTCGCCGACGTTCACAGGGGGTTGAACAGAGAGAGGGGCCTGCGAAGGAGGAACGTCGGTCGAGCGTGCTGTCCTCAGAGACCCCTGTTTCCAAATGGAAGGACTGGTACCGAGAGGTCAGGTTAAGAGGAACCAGTTCCCAATCTAGTGGTCAAGAAAAGCAACCATTAGACCGGCCAGCAGGGCGGTCATTGGCGGTTTCCGCTGGGGCAAGAAAATAGAAGTCGCCAGAAAGGTAGAGTATATGGCAGTGTGATGGTGACAGGCCGTGGGTGGCGGAGTCAGGTTGGCAGGTGCCTGGAATACTGTGCGGATGAGGGTCTGAATGTCGCCGAGTGACCTCCAGTAACGAACAAGGTGAAGTGTGAGGCAGCCCCTCCCTGCCCACTGCCCCCCATCATTTCTTGGGGGAAAGTGTCCGATCGGATGACTCTGGGTGGTTTAGGACCACTTAGCAATTGTTCTTTGCTGCTTCTCTGGGTGGTGGCATGACGACTCAGAGCTGTTTTTACGGGAGGCACAGAGCTCGGAGGGTCTTTCTGTCCTGCGGTGCTGGGTGGCAGGCTGCGCGGAAAGGATGGGAAGGTCTAACTCTGGTGAGAACCTCCACCCCTGACCCTCCGGCCACACAGTTTCTCTCCTTGGAAACCACTGTTTCTTGGCTATTTCTTTATAAATATATGTGTAAAGAAACATATACATATGAATGTGTGTGTGTGTGTGTGAGTGTGTGTATATATATATATATATGTACAGACCAAGGTACATCCATCTTTAAAAAATAGAAATGGTAAAAAAAAAAATAGAAATGATAATATACTGTACAAATTATTTTATACCTTGCTTTTTCACTTAACGTTTAACCTTGGAGGTTGTTCCATATTAGTATTTGGAAGTAGAACTGTCTTTTCTTTTTTTTTTTAAGATTTTATTTAGGGCGCCTGGGTCGCTCAGTCTGTTGGGCGTCTGCCTCCCGCTCATGTCATGATCTCAGGGTCCTGGGATCGAGGCCTCCGTCGGGCTGCCTGCTCAGCAGGGAGCCTGCTTCTCCCCCTGCTTGTGCTCTCTCTCTCTCTCTCTCTGACAAATAAATAAATAAGTAAATAAAATCTTAAAAAAAAAGATTTTATTTATTTTTAGAGAGAGCAAGTTGGGGGAGGGCAGAGGCAGAGGAAGAGAGAGAGAGAATCTTGAGCAGACTCCGCACTGAGAGTGGAGCCCGACACGGGGCTTGATCTCATGACCCTGAGTCATGACCTGAGCTGAAACCAAGAGTTGGGCGCTCAACCGACTGAGCCACCCAGGTGCCCCTTTAGCCTTGTTTTAAACAGTGCTAGAATATCTGTGTACGTGTCATTGGACACATATGGAATTTTGATTGTAGGATAAACTCCTAGAAGTGGAATTGCTGTGTTAAAGGATGTGTACATTTTTAAACGTTGGTAGATGTTGCCAGATTTTACCAATTTCTATTCCCGTGACTGATATGTGAGTGCGTGCGTTTGTCCACATACTCGGTACCAAGTTAACCAACTTTTTTTTATTCATACCCACCTGACAGTGAAAAAAAAACAAACCTCATTGCCATTTCTGAGTGTGCATATCATTTCATAGGTGAAGGAGTGATTTATTTTCCTTCTTCTCTGTCATTTTGCCCAGTTTCCCATTTATATTCTCCATTAAGGAAATTAGCCCTGTGACTATGACGTCTGGCAAATATTCTTTTCCTGGTTTGTCCTTTGTACGTGAATTCAAATACAGTCAACAGTTGTCTCCAGATCTCGAGCAGTGCTGTTCGGGGACATGGAGAGCCTGTCGCTAAGGTGACCTGTCTCCCCTCTGAGGCCTAGGAGGCAGGTGTTTTCATTTTCACTCCCTGACGTGGACAGGACGCGCTGTGTTGTGGTGGAGCTGGGACAGCTCAAGGCTGAGTCATCCTGTGTGCACTTGACTAAGAGAAGCTGCGAGCCGCCCGGCTCCGGCCTGACGTGGCTCTGGGCAGTGTAGGCGGGTCCCTGTCCTTCAGACGCCTCTATCTCTGTGGGAGGTTGGACATGTCCTCATAACCCTGAGAGCTCTACAGAAGGGGATCCCCTCCCCATGGAGCCTTTTAAAAGATGTAATTTTTTTGATGACCGGAAAAAAAACCAAAAAACACTCTTTGTAAAAGGAGAACATCTCTTTCGCCCGTTCCCCCCGTAGGGAGCCGAGAGCATAACCACATACACGTTCAACACGCACAAAGCTCAGCACACCTTCTGTAAGAGGTGCGGCGTCCAGAGTTTCTATACTCCGCGCTCCAACCCCGGAGGCTTCGGTGAGTGAAGGGGGCCGGCTGCCCGTGCAGGGGGGACACGGGGACACCTGCGGCTGCCCCGGGTTCATACGCCGATTGCTAGGCCGGGCGCTGGCCTCTCTGGCTTGCCTCTTGCTTGGCAGGGCCTGTGCACGTGGAGGTCTTAGAAGAACTGGGCTGTTCAGCAACGTTCTTTCCCAGTGATGGGAGAGAAGATTGCCTCTGGTCACCCATCCAGATCCTGCCTTCATTTGCTGGTTGCTGGGGGCTGACGCTGAGGGATAGAGGGAGGAGAGGAGATGGGCCTTGGGGGGGCTGGCGGGGTGGTAAGGGAGGGAATTTTCACCCCGAGGATGGTTCAGGGAGTGAAGGAGGCAAGAGTGAGGAGTGTTGATAATGCCGTTAGGAAAGATTCTGTTTGAAAAAAAGGTTTTTCAGTTTGTTTAAAATATAAACAATGAAAGTCCCCAAGCCCCTCCTCTTCAGGTCCAACCTGGATCTGAGGGGGGAATGACACCAATTGCGGTGTGGAAAGTAGCAGTCAAGGAATCTTGTTTCCTTTTTTTTTTTTTTTTTTAAGATTTTATTTATTTGTCAGAGAGAGAGCACAAGCAGGGGGAGCAGAAGACAGAGGGAGAAGCAGGGAACCCGATGCGGGGCTCGATCCCAGGACCCTGGGATCATGACCTGAGCCGAAGGCAGACGCTTAACCGACTGAGCCACCCAGGCATCTCTAAAAAAAAATTTTTTTAAAGCAATCTCTACAACCAATGTGGGGCTCGAACTCACAACCCTGAGATCAAGAGTCGTGTGGTCCATGGACTGAGCCAGCCGTGCGCCCCCTCCCCACCCCACTTCTTTAGCAGCTACTGTGTGTTCTTCATGTACCACTTGGAGAGGCCTGCCTGCCTGCCTGCCTTAAGAATCAAGAAAGGCTTTTGGAAAGTAGAAAATCCTATAAAGGTGGGCAGGTGTTTAATACTTAGAAAGTTCTATTAAAACCCTGGACAAGGCCGGTGAATTCTTCAGGCTGCCAGTCAGAGGTTGTTCTAGGCTTGGATCTTGGTACTTTGTGCTCTCAGCTTGGTACTGAGTGCTATCCAGCCCTGGCATCCCTGGCTTAGGAAGTCTGACCCCCACCCGCCGGGAAGGAAAGGGAGCCGGGAAGCTGACGTTGTGGGGTCGTAAGCTTTAACAGTGGATCGCCACCGCTGCTTGCAGGTGTGGGTTTGTCCGCCAGCCAGCCCAGGCCCCGCTCTCGTTCACACCTGGGACCTTCCTTTTTCTGTGTCACCTCCCCCCAGGAATCGCCCCACATTGCCTGGATGAGGGCACCGTGCGGAGCGTGGTCATTGAGGAGTTCAATGGGACCGATTGGGAAAAGGCCATGAAGGAGCACAAGACCATCAAGAACATGTCTAAGGAGTGAGCTCCTGCTTCTCGCTTCCCGAAAAGGAGGAACGATGGGAGCCAGCAGCCATGCAGGGCCCACCGCGCGCTGGCGGGGCCCGTGAGTGTGCTGACCCAGGCCGCTGGTCCCGTTGGCCCGCGGCCACCCCGATCTCCGCAGTTGGCTCAGCCACCAGCTTCTTTAGGCAGCTCTTTGTCCTTTCAGCCCAGATTTTGATGTAGGCTAGTCGACATCCTTTCTCTTCTCAACTTTTGTGTGATCTTTTAGAAAAATAAATATTTTTAACATGAAAGCAGTCACTGTGGTTTGTCATTTTCTCTGCACTTTGATTTTGGTTCTGAGGCCAGGCATTTAATCGCAGGTATTTATCGACCGCTGTTAAAATGTGTGCGACCAAACTGGCGGGGAGAGATGAGAAGACAAATGAATAGTCATGAAACACTTGTAAGACTGGGCAAGATCGAAAGCCACATGAGTTGTAAACATAAGAGCCCTAGGAGTTCAGAGGAGAGAGAGGGCTGGTTAGGAAAGAACTGGGAGACTATCACTGGAGTCTTTTTTTTTTGAAGGTGAATCAGCTTCTGATTTTTTTTTTTTAATTGGGGTCAAATACCCATAGCATGAAATTGACCATCTTAACCGTCTTTTTTTTTTTTTTTTAAGATTTTTATTTATTTATTTGACAGAGAGAGAGGACATGAGCTGGTGGAGGGGCAAAGGGAGAGGGAGAAGCAGACTCCCCACTGTGCAAGGAGCCTGACGCAGGCCTCGATCCCAGGACCCTGAGTTCATGACCTGAGCCGGAGGCAGTCGCCCAACCGACTGAGCCACCCAGGCGCCCCCTGTCTTAATCATCTTTAAGTGTCCAGTTAAGCAGTGTTGAGTACAACCAACTTGAGTGTTGTGCAACCAACTTCCAGAACTCTCCATCTTGCAAAACTGAATCTCTATACCCACTGAACAACAACTTGGAGTCTCTATTTTTAAATGAAGCGAGGGCGCCTGGGTGGCTCAGTTGGTTGAGCGACTGCCTTCGGCTCAGGTCATGATCCTGGAGTCCCTGGATTGAGTCCCGCATCGGGCTCCCTGCTCGGCAGGGAGTCTCCTTCTCCCTCTGACCCTCCCCCCTCCCATGTGCTCTCTCTCTCGCTCTCTCAAATAAACAAAGAAATCTTTAAAAAATAAAAAAATAAAATAAAAAAAATAAATGAAGCGAGACTTAGGAAGGTCGAATGGAAAAGTGTGTGAACAGAGGTCGGGGCCCCGAGTAAAGCCAGACTGGACGGGAAGCTTCCGATGGGAGGAAGTAATAGAAGAGATCAGAAAAATGTGTCAGAAGCCGGACTGTGGACGGTCTTGGATATTAAGCTCAGGAATTTGGCCTTTATTTTCCAGGCATTAGGGAAGCTCTGAACAACTTTGAACAGGAGAGGAACACTTGGCCCGCTACGGAGTCTTTTGACTGGTTCCCCTGCCCCCCCACCCACCTTGCTTCCCATTGCTGCTTATTTTAATCAGGTCAACTTTCCCAAAGCATTCCTTTCTCTACCAAACACTGAGTATATACATAACGGCACATGCTTAATAAACATTCGCTCTTTGTTTAGGGAGACTGATGAATCATGCACTGACTTTGTGACGTAGACTAGCCAAGGAGAAGGAACAGGGAGAGAGATAACAGATGGACTGGGTTCTGTGTGATCATCACCTCTTCCAAGTCGGCTGACAGCATGTTTACTTTAAGGCTAGAAAGAGCCGGTGAGAAATTATACAGGGAAAACACGAGTACCCGATCTACCTTTCCTATTGCGAGATTGCTTGAAAACATACTTTTGTGTATCTTTCAGAAACCTCAGTGGAGTCATCCTGTGCCTTTTCTGCAGCTTGCATTTTTTTAAAGTTTTTTTTTAAGATTTTGTTTATTTATTTGACAGAAAGAGACACAGCGAGAGCAGGAACACAAGCAGGGGGAGCGGGAGAGGGAGAAGCAGGCTCCCCGCTGAGCAGGGAACCCGACGCGGGGCTCGATCCCAGGACCCCGGGATCATGACCTGAGCCGAAGGCAGACGCTTAATGGCTGAGCCACCCAGGAGCCCTACAACTGTATATTTAACAGAAAAGCAGGAAGCACTAAAATTTGGTTAAAATACAAACAAGATTTGCACTCTGTCGTATTTACTTTGCATTTACTAGGCTAGCATGTCAGACGAGCATCACCAGGTTCACAGAGCGATGGCAAGTGTATTGTAGAGTATCCGTAGAATGAACTAGAACACTTTAATGTGTTTATGGAACATTCTAAATCCTTTATTGTCATTTTAACCGTCTTCACAGCATCTTCACCAGGAATAGATTCCATCAAGAAACCACGTTCTTGGCTCATCCTTAAGAAGCAGCCCCTGATCCGTTAAAGTTTTATGAGATTGCAGCCATTCGGTCCCATGGTCAGGCTCCACTTCTGCTTCTAGTTCTCTTGCTGTTTCCACCACATCTCCAGTGACTTCCTCCACTGAAGTCTGGAACCCCTCAAAGTCATCCATACGGTTGGAATCAACTTCTTCCAAACTCCCGTTCATGTTGATTCCCAGGAATCACAAATATTCCTAATGGCACCTAGAATGATGAATCCTTTCCAGAAGGTCTTCAATTTACTTTGTCCAGATCCATCAGATGAATCACTATCTATGGCAGCTACAGTCTTATGAAGTGTATTTCTTAAATAAAAAGACTTGAATGTTGAAATGACTCCTTGATCCATGGGCTGCAGAGTGGATGTTGTGTTAGCAGGACTGAACATGACATAAATCTCACCGTCCATCTCCATCGGAGCTCTTGGGTGACCAGGTGCATTGTCAACAAGCAGTAATATTTTGAAATCTTTTTTTTTCTGAGCAGGAGGTATGAACATTTGGCTTAAAATACTCAGTAAATCATGTTGTAAACAGATGTGTTGTCATCTAGGCTTTGTTCCATTTGTAGAGCACGGGCAGAGTAGATTTAGCATAATTCCTAAGGGTCCTAGGATTCTCAGAATGGTCAATGAGCATTGGCTTCAACATAAAGTCACCAGCTGCATGAGCCCCTAGCAAGAGAGTCAGCCTGACCTTTGAAGGTTTGAAGCAAGGCGTTGACTTCTGTCCAGCTACAGAAGTTCTAGATGGTGTCTTCATCCAATAGAAAGCTGTTTCATCAGCACTGAAGATCTGTTGTTGAGTGTAGCTTCCTTCATTAGTTATGTTAGCTCGATCTTCTGGAGAACTTGCTGCAGCTTCTACATCAACACTTGCTGCTTCCCTTGCCCTTTGATGGTAGGAAGACGGCTTCCTTCCTCAGTCCTCCTGAACCAACCTCTGCTTGCTTCAGACTCTTCTGCAGCTTCCTCACCTCTCAGCCTTCACAGAATTGAAGGGAGTCAGGGCCTTGCTCTGCGTTAGGCTTTGGCTTAAGGGAATGTTGGGGCTGGTTTGACCTTCTCTCCAGACCACTAAACCTTTCTCCACATCAAAGCCTGCTTTGTTATCATTCATGTGTTCACTGGAGTGGCACTTTTCCTTTCCTTCAAGAACTTTTCCTTTGCATTCACAACTTGGCTCACTGGGCCAAGAGGCCTCGCTTTCAGCCCTGTCTCAGCTTCTGAGAGGTCTTCCTCACTAAGCTCAATCATTTCTAGCTTTTGATTTCAAGTGAGAGACATAGGACTCTTCTTTTCTCTTGAACATTCACAGGCCGCTGTAGGGTTATTACTTGGCCTAATTTTAATATTGTTGTGTGTTAGGGACTAGAAAGGCCCAAAGGGAGGGTGAGAGATGGAGGAATGGCCAGTCAGTAAGCAGTCAGAACATAGAAACCGATATTAAGTTCAC